GCGGGCGGGGGCAGGCCGGGGCCGCCCGGCCCATGGGATCGCCGCCGGCTCCGGACCACCGGCCCTTTCCGCGAGGCGGCGAGGCCGGAGGGAGGGAGTGGGGGGAGCCGGGGAGGGCGTGGGGGCCACTCTGCGGGGCTCTGCATCCCCCGTTAGTGGCCTGGAGAAGGACCCCCCGCCACACCCTTCCCCAGCCTCAGTTTCCCCTGTGAGATGCAGCGAGGGCGATGGCGTCTCCGTCTCCTGGGTTAGCCCGCAGCGGAGATGTGTCCGGAGTCCGGCTCTCTGCCTCTCCTTGAGGGCTCTCCATCCCGTCCCGGGGCCGGTTGGGGGCGCGGGTATGGGCGCGGTGGCGAGCGAGCTCGGGGAGGACCGGCTGGACCTCAGGGGCGGGCCCGTGGGGAACGTCCGCCCTCGGGTCTGGTCCCCGCCTACCCCAGGAGTCCACCTCTCTTCCCCCTCGGCTGCCTGCCATCTTTTCTGATCTCCTGTCGCGGTCCCTGCGCTTCTGCCCCCTCCCCCTCCAGCCGGAACTCATTTCCCGACCTACATATGCGCGCCCATCCCCCTTTAGGATCCCGGGCAGCCACGGTCATTCTCGGACCGGAGCTGTGAGAACACCTCGCTTTCGCCAGGTCTCCCCCACCCCCACTCTCTGGGCCTGTTTCCCCTGCTGTCGAGTGGGGTTAACACCCGAAAGGGCTGGGGACGCTGGAGCCTGTGCACTGGCTCACCCTTTCCTCTGGGGAAGGACCGAACGCGCGCCCTGCCTACTCAGGGCTGCGGGTCATCCCGGCCCAGACTCTGCTCCCTGAGATTCCAGCGTGCAGTCCCCGGTCCTTCCCACCGGGAGGAGGGGGCGTTGAGGGGGGGCAGTCAGGTGCAATGTCCAGGCAGTCCCTTTCCCGAGGGCTGAGCTCCCCTCCCCCGGCCTCAGTTTACCCCTAGCGTGAAGCAAACGTGGAGGTTGGCCTGCTCAGCCAGAGAAGCTGCTCGCGGAGGCGCAGGGCCCCGCGCTGAGCACTGGCGGGGAGGCGGCTGCAGCAGCCATCTTGCCGCCCAGGACCGGCTCAAGCCGCCCTGCAGGAGGCCTCCCTCCCCCGCGCCCCCTCCTCTCCCCAGTGCGCCCTGGCAACACCCCCCCCCCCGCTCGGCCTGCTCGCTCAGTCGCCATGGGAACCAGATTCTTCAGGGCTGGGAACAGATGCGCCTTCTTTGGCCTTTTCGCTCCCACTAGCACTGGGTGGAGGGGGGCAGCTACCTCCCGGAGTCGTGACTTGGTAGTCACTGAGCTCAGTCCCTCCGCCCCCCTCCACGATCCTAGTACCACTCCCCCGTAGAACCAGTCTCCCGGGGCTGCGACAGCCCCCTCCTACCCCCTGATGCGGCTGGCAGGGCCCCTGAGGGCTCACGGTAGTGAACTGACATCCTCGGCGTCCCTCTTCCCCCAGGAGTGCTTCCCCTTTTCTGGGCAGGGTTCCCGGGCAGCTGCGACCTTGCCGGGCCGGCCCCACCGGCTGGGGAGGTGGTGGATAGCACACACCTCCCCCGTTTTACACACGGGGACACGGAGGTCCCGGCGCGGATCTAAGCGGGGTGGGGGCTGCCTCGGGGCTCTCCTCCACCTCTCCGTGAGTCACCGCCCCATGTGGACTCCTGCTCCCTCTCCCGGGGAGCTGGGAGGGGGAGGGGACAGAGGAGCTGGTCTGAGCAGGCCCTGCCCCCCCAGGCCCCTCCTCCTAGCTTCACGATGCAGCCCACGCCCACCACGGCCACTGCCGCCGGCGCCGCCACCACGGTTGCCCTGACCTCGAGGTGGGACAACGCCACCGGCAGCCCCACCGTGAGTGAGGGGGACGGATGGAGTGGGGGGCTGGGCCGGGCGGGCCTCCGGAGGCCGCGCCCGGCGGTCCTGACCCCTGCCGGCCCACAGGCGGAGCCTGACCCCATCCTGGACAACTACGTGCTGCTGGTGGTGGTCATGTCGCTCTTCGTCGGTGGCGCGCTAGTGGTGCTGTCCGGCGTGCTGCTCCTATGCAGGCGCTGCTGGGAGGCCCACCGGCGCTTCAACAGGTGCGCAGCCCGCCCACCCCAGCGGCCTCCCCGGGCCCCTGCGCGCCTGGAGCCGGGTGATCGTGAGCGCGCGTGCGCGCGCGCGCTGGTAGCACGCGTGTGTGTCAGCCTGTGTGGTGTTGGGGGCCTGCTTCTAAGTGCCTGGGGAGCACGCTGTGTCCCCTGGGGCCTGGCCCAGTGAGCTCGGGTCCCGGCAGGTGGGCCCTCCGTCCCACCTTGCTGCCCTGCGGTCCCTCCCCAGAGCGACGGAGGAAGCAGAGAAGACCACCACCACCTACCTGGACAACGGTGCTCACCCGGCCCAAGGTGCGGCGCCCCGCCAGGCCCGCCCCCAGCCCGTTTGCCCGCCCCCCCGCCCGCCCCCTCGGGCCGCCTGACCGGCTGTGTCTGTCTGTCTCCCCCACCAGACTGGGCGCAGCTCGATTCCGACTCATCTCTGTTTCCTTAGAGCCCGCGCGTAGGTGCTCACAGGCGCGTGCTGAGCGAGTGAGTGTGTGAGCGGATGTGTGAGTGCCCGCCCTGCCCCCTGCCCCGTCCCAGCCCTCAGTCGGGCCCCACCCCTCGCCCCCTCCCCGACCCACCCCAGCCGGCCGCCCGCCCAGCGCCAGCCCAGCGCCAGGCGAGGCCCGCCCGGGGCCCACCCTCTGCACTCTCCTCGCAGACCCCGACTTCAGGGGGGAGGACCCTGAGGGCCAGGATGCCGAGACGGAGCGCTTCCTGTCCACCAGCTACACCGGCCGCCGGGTGTCCTTCAATGAGGCAGCCCTGTTTGAGCAGAGCCGGAAGTCACAGGACAAGGGCCGCCGGTAAGGGGCGGCACAGCAGGAGGGGACCCTGTCCCCAAGGGAGGCCACAGAGCCTGGTGCCCTGTGACTGGGCTCACTGCGGGGTGGGTGCTGGCCTTGCTCTCCCCCATGGTGGAGCCAGGGACAGCAGCAGGTGTGGGCTCAGGGTTCAGGCTGAGCATGGGGGCTGGCTGGCATGGTGACAGGCAGCCATGCCGGGCGCAGGTACACCCTGACGGAGGGGGACTTCCACCACCTGAAGAATGCCCGCCTCACCCACCTGCACCTACCACCCCTCAAGATCATTACAATCCACGAGTGCGACCTGGGTGAAGTCAGCACAACCACCCCTCCCCACGCTGCTGCCACCCCCAAGGCCAACCTCGCCATATTCCAGGTGAGTATATGAGTGGCAGCCAGCCCGGGGCTCAGTGGACAGGACACCCACCCTGTAGGTGGCCCCTTTCCCACTCTCTGGGCTGGGCCCCTCATCTTAGGACAGGGAGGGGGGCCTGGCTGGGGTGCACAGTGGGCTGTGGGTCCAGTAGTCCCCCTCACCCACTCGTGCTCTTTGACCTGTTACTGCTTCCTCCCCTAGCCCCCGGGGAAGGCCCTCACCGGCCGCTCCGTGGGCCCCAGCTCCGCCCTGCCAGGTGACCCCTACAACTCAGCCGTGGGCCCTGCTGACTTCGAGATCAGCCCCTTGGCATCCAGCGACTCCGGGGAAGGCACCTGGGTGAGGGCCCCCGAGCGGCCCCTCCCCTCCCTGCCCCACTCCAGGACAGAGGTCAGCCTGTGGCCTCCCCCGACCCTAACTCCCCTTGCTCCTGCCTGATCCCCCTGCATGGGAGGAAGAGGGGTAGGCAGCACTTAGACCACGCAGCCATCCCACACATGCACAGAGCATTCTAGCAGCCGGAGAGCATAGGGTCAGGACACAGCCCAAGCCAGGGCATGAGTGCTCTCGGACACTCATCTTCAGAAACTCCTCTGTCCGGGGCTGGGAGAACAGGGCTGGCCAGAGCCTGGCTGAACCCCGCAGCTTAGCATAGCTTCCACCCAGCCACCGAGCGCTGTTCACTGCTCCTCTGCGTTCTGGGTGGGGCGTGTTGGCAGTCTGCCAGGGTGGAAGCCACCCACGAGAGTGCAGAGCTGGGGCCCAAGCTGGGGCCAGCACGTGGGGCAGCGAGGAGAGGGTCCTCATGCCTGAGAGCATTCCTCTTTCCTTCCAGTTGGAGGCAGGTACCAGGAGCACTAAGCCTGTTGGGCCAGCGGCCACGACAGGACCCAGGGAGGCAGGCCCAGGCTCCGGGGCCGGACCTGTCCTGCAGTTCTTTACCCGCCTGCGGCGCCATGCCAGCCTGGATGGGGCCAGCCCCTACTTCAAGGTCAAGAAGTGGAAGCTGGACCCCAGCCAACGGGCATCCAGTCTGGACACTAGAGGTGAGCTGTGGCCTCCGTAGAAACCGGGGCCCAGGGGGTGGAGCTCCAGCTGCTGCCCCAGTCGGCCTTAGAGGAGGTTCTGCATCCAGGAAGGGGTCCGTGCTCTTGAGGGGCCCCAGGGCTCCTGCCCCCTGCTGGCTGGCAGCACCCATTTGCCAATGGGCATCTTGCCCAAGGGCTCAGAGCTGGTTGGGTCACTGACTGTGCCCCAGTAAAGCAGGGGGGTGGGCAGGCCGTAGCCGCGATCGGTGAACTTCTTCGGTAAGTCTCTAGACAGTAATGCTTTTGGGTCTGTGGTCAGTCTCTCTGGTCTGGCAGCGTGCAAACAGCCGTAGACTGGGTATGAATGAGTGTTGTGGAGATGGGCCAATAAACCTGCATTTACAACAGTAGGTTGCAGGCTCATCTGTCCTGTGGGCCGGAGCATCCCCACCCCTGAGCTAGCGACAGCAGCCCTTCAATCCCGCAGACTGCTGTCATGGAGAGCCCTGCATATAGGGCTTCCTTACCCTCAGCCCCAAGCAGGGATACTCAGGGCATACTCAGTATACTCCATATATACTGGGGGAACTCAGCCAGGACAGGACAGGCTGCGGGGGTTCCTGCCGCCCTGTGGAGTGGTGGGGCCAGTGCCGGGACAGGTGAGGAGAGAGAGCGTAAGCAGGTGCATGGCCTGACGCCACAAGCCCCCTTGCTGGGGCCTGGCTCCAGTTCGTGCAGGGCCAGGGGGGCCCAGTCCACTGCCTTCAGGAGCAGAGATGGAGCCCACGATCCTGAGGGCGGTTAGAGCCGAACGGAGGTGCAGAAGTGCCCAGAACCTGTTTGCTGACTGGCCTCCCCACCCCTGGGGCTCTCCCACCCAGTCTTCTCCCTGGCCCCCACCAGCCTGTCCCTCATTCCCCCCCACGTTCCAGCTTCTACACTTCAGCCCAGCTGTGCCTGCTGCCCGGTGTCCGGGGCACATCTTGGCCTGAGCTGCTCCAGGCACCGCCTCCACACCGCACTCACACCTGCCCTAGCTCTTCTGTTCTCGGGGCCTCGGTTTCCCCCTTGCAGAGCGGGGTGCACACTCACCTGGCCCAGGCTGGTCCTTGCTGGCCTCTGGGGTGGGAGTGGGGCCCAAGGCTGAGCGGAACTCTGACGCGCCTTCCTCCATACAGGCTCCCCCAAGCGGCACCACTTCCAGCGGCAGCGAGCAGCCAGCGAGAGCACAGAGCAGGAGGAGGGGGACGCCCCCCACGTGGACTTCATCCAATACATCGCCAGCGCAGGCGAGGCTGTGGCCTTCCCGCCCCCCCACCCCCTTCTGGCCAGCCCCACCAGCCCATCCCCCACTCTCGGCAGGTATTTTTCAGTAGATAGAAGTGCTAGGGGTGGACCTGTGGGCCCCAGCCCAGCCCAGTCCCCCCCCATTGTCCTGGGGAGGGCTCTCCCCACCCTGCAGACATGCGGTCACACTCCAGGCCCACCATCCCTCCCGGAGGCTGTCTCACTGGGGCCACCTCTCCAGCATGCATCACGAGAGGGAAACGGGGGGAGAGGGGGTAAGGGCAGAGGGGCAGGTGGGGCCCTGGACCATGGCCCCAGGGTCCCCAAGACAGGATGCCTGCCCAGTTAGGGCTGCCAGGGGTATGTGCCTGCTTGGATGTTACCGCTTCCTGGTGGAGTCCACGGCCTGCTGGGCTCCGCTGGGGCCTGGTGCTCCTTCCCACCTGCTCATATTCCTGAGGGCTGCATGGCCCCTTCTCAGAAACTGACCCCTTCTGCCCGCAGCACCCCACTACCCCCTCAGTGGATGGGGGTGTTGGGGTGATGAAGTCCAGGTGTAGACGCTGAGTGGGACTGCACCTGGTCCAGTCCCTCCCATGCCAATCCCTTCTACACTAAGACCTTAGGAAAAAAGTAGCTTCGCAGCAGAATGTTCACTCTCTCTAGGTGAAGAGCCAGCCACAGACACTGGGAAAAGTGACCTGGTTGAAAAGCAGGTGCCAGGAAGGCTCAGGTTTACCCAGAAAACATACCCTGTGCAACAGGGACTGGCGGCATTTTTTTAAAAAATTCATTTTCCTCAGAGCCTGGCCAAACCTAGGGGGCCCCCGCCCATGCCCACCCTTCCGGACCCAGAGTCGGGGGGCTGGGGAGCAAATGCAGGGGCGCGCACAGCCTTCTTGACTGCTGCGGCCTGGCTTGCAGGCTAGAGGCAGCCGAGGAGGTGGGCGCCACGGGAGGAGCGAGCCCCGAGTCTCCCCCAGAGCGCAGCGGCGGTGTGGGGCCTGAGCAGCCGCAGCAGGAATCTGATGGTGAGCGGGACTCGGGGCCAGAGCAGGCCCAGACCATCTACCGGGATATCTGGAGCCTGCGTGCGTCTCTCGAGCTGCACGCCGCGGCCGCCTCGGACCACAGCAGCAGTGGCAACGACCGCGACTCGGTGCGCAGCGGAGACAGCTCGGGCTCAGGCTCCGGGACCACCGTGCCCACCTTCCCACCTTCCTCGCCGCCGCCCACACCTCGGTCCGCGGATAGCGAGGCGGGAGGTCCGCGGAAGCTGCTTCAGATGGACAGCGGCTACGCCAGCATCGAGGGCCGCGGCGCGGGCGAGGACGGGCTCCCCAGCGCGTCCGAGAAGCGCTCTTCCTTCACCAGCGCCGGCCGCACGGCCACTGTGGGCAGCAGCTTCGAGGGGGCGCTGGCGCCCACTGAGGCGCCCGCCCGGC